ATGCTGCTCACCTGAGCCTGAATGTTGGATGCTGCTCACCTGAGCCTGAATGTTGGATGCTGCTCCCCCAGCTGAAGTCCGGACTTTAGAGGTTTTGTTGAGCACCTTCTTCTGCTGAAGGGCCATGCTGTATTTGCAGGCAGCATTACGGTACTCCTTATCATGGAAAATGGCATCTGCATGGTAAACCAGCAGCTGATACTTCTGGGCTGGCGAAAACAGCTCCCTTCAATCAGAGACGTACAAATAAAACTGATGAATCAAAAAGATTGTGTGTCAAACCCGATCTCTGCTCTTCACACTAAAAGCAAACTAGTCTGTTTAAATGAGGGAACAGTGACGAGGTTAATAAACACAAAACAAAAACGATATAACTCCTAGAAAACAAGAATGCATCAAATTGAGTCAACACATGGATGGGTCTATGTCTTGGTAAATAATGCTCAATGTATTTGAAATACACAATAACCGGCGCAGACTCTTAAGGTCAGTTAACTTGTCAAAGCAGCATACATCTTATCTTAGCTGTTGATGACATCGTGGTTAGCTGTGGGCTAATGCCACCACCGAGGGAAGAATTAAAAACAAATATAAAGGTAATGAAGGAGCGCGTCGGGAAATACACGGACCCCGACACTACTTACGGATTGTTATTACTCATCGTCAGCATCAAACTGCTCAATATGCGAACATTTGAGTGCAGTCCGGCTGCAGCCATATCCCGAACATGGTCCACTACATTCATTTTTACTTATTGTTATGGCTTGCTGTATTTAGCCGCGACTGGCTTTACGTTTCTGTCGAGGAATAGCTAAAAATACTTAGCATCTGACGTATTAAATATGGCGCCCAATGACTTCCGCCCTAGTGCTGCTTTCAGGGTCCCGTCGCCAGCTCGTATTTTCAACATCCACTCGTCTCTACGATGTCTTCAGAAAATTGCGTTTGTGCACACATTTAGACATTAAATTATATTTTACTATTTTTATATTTTATTCGTTAAAGATAAAAGTTATCTATTATTATTATTTACTTTGCATATTTGATAAACTAAAGTTTTTTATACATAATTTCCAATGATGTTTGATGTTCTTTTGAGCACGTCACATCCATGTGATGTGCTCAAAAGAACATCAAACATCAAAAGATGTGCTCGGTCATCTGGATGGAAGGTGAAACGTTTCAGCACAAAAAAAGAAACTGTCCAGATGACCTGACTGAAAATTGTTGGATATTCTCATGGCCTCAGACAATGTCCTGTTAGACCTCAGTGCTGCATTTGATACAGTTGATCACAATATTTTACTACAGAGGCTTGAATTCAATTCAATTTCAATTCAGTTTATTTATATAGCGCCAAATCACAACAAAGTTGTCTCAGTGCACTTTACAGGAACATTCACATACCATCCATCCATCCATCCATTATCTTTACCCGTTTATTCCATTTTGGGTCACGGGGGTCGCTGGTGCCCATGTCCAGCAATCACTGTGCGAGGGGCGGGGTACACCCTGGACAGGTCGCAAGTCCATCACAGGGCCACATAGAGACAAACGAGACAAACAACCATTCACTTTCTCACTCACACCTAGGGACAATTTAGAGTTACCAATCAGCCTAACATGCATGTTTTTGGTCTGTGGGAGGAAACCGGAGTACCCGGAGAAAACCCACGCATGCACGGAGAGAACATGCAAACTCCACCTAGAAGGCACCTGGACCGGGGTTTGAACCAGGGACCTGTTCGCTGAGAGGCAGCAGCTCTACCAGTTGCACCACCGTGCTGCCCACTCACATACATAAAAGCCAATTAGTAAAGTTCTCTATCTAAGGAATCCAGCAGACAAGTTGAATCTTGGCTTCGTTGCAGTCTCCCATCCTGAGCAAGCACAGAGGCAACAGTGGAAAGGAAAAACTCCCTTTTAAAAGGAAGAAACATCCAGCAGAACCAGGCTCAGGACAAGCGGCCATCTGCTTTGACCGGCTGGTTGAGAGGACAGGAAGGAGATACAGACGAACATAGAATGGTAGGTCCAGGTATAGGTCCAGGATGAATATTATATTGGGATTGCAAGAACAGCTCTAAAATGGTTTAAATCATATTTATTTGATATATTTCAATTTGTAAATGTAAATATTGAATCTTCTTCATACACTAAAGTTAGTCACAGTGTTCCTCAGGGTTCATTGCTTGGACCAATATTTTTTACTTTATATATGCTTCCATTAGGTAAAGTTATTAAACAGCATGGGAGAAATTTTTATTATTTTGCTGATGACACACAATTATATTTGTCAGTTACTTAGACTACAAGCATGTCTTAAATACATTAAAACCTGGATGACCCTTGATTTTCTGCTTTGAAACTCAGACAAGACTGAGGTTTTGTTTTATGGACCTGAGCATCTTAGGGGGAAAAAAATTCAGTCTTTCACTTTCTCTGGATGACATTAATTTGGCCTCCAGTTCTAAAGTTAAAAATCTTGATGTTATTTTTTGATCAGGATTTATCTTTTAACCCCTACATTAAAAATGCTACTAGAACCACTTTCCGCCACCTGTGTAATATCACTACAATTAGAAACATCTTGTCTAATAATAAAGCGGTCTGTATGCTCAATCATCTAGGTAGATAAATCACAAAAAAGGTTCAATCATGTCATCTGAACCAGTTTCTTTAAGGGAGAAACGTTTCGTCCTTCATCTGAAAGACGTCTTCATTCTGAGGTCTGCTAACACACATCTGCCTCACAAATGGCACCTCCTTGATGTGTTTCAAGACAGCTCTCTGTGGAATCCACAGAGCTTTACATGCAAAAAGGGAACCATCTGCCCAAAACAATCACTCATCATTTATCATCATCATCATTTTTCTGAACCATTTTGGCCTTGGTATTCCTCAGGCTGTTTCTGTGAGTAAGTTGGCCTAAAACATTTGATTGTTATGCACGAAGATTGATTGTTTTGGATGGATGATTCCCTTTTTGCATGTGTAAAGCTAGTTTCTTTGGATTCCACAGGGGGCTGTCTTGAAACACTTCAAGGAGGTCTGTTTGTGAGGCAGATGTGGGTTAGCAGACCTCAGACTGAAGGAGTCTTTCGAACGAAAGACCAAATGTTTCTCCCTTAAAGAAACTGGTCCAGATGACATGATTTAAACATTTTTTTGACTTGACTAATAATGATGCAGAAAAACTGATCCATGTCAAGGCTGGACTGTTGCAATGGTTTATTATCTGGGTGTCCAAAAACTTCTTTAAAACGTCTTCAATTGATCCAAAATGCTGCTGCCAGAGTCTTAACTGGAGTTAGTAGGAGAGATCACATCTCTCCAGTTTTAGCTTCTCTCCAGTGGCTCCCTGTCAAATTCAGAATAGAATTCAAAATCTTACTTCTAACATACAAAGCTCTCAACAACCTAGCTCCATCTTACATATTTTATTGTTCCATATTTTTCTAGCAGACTCTCAGACGGCAGGTTTACTTATGGTTCCTATAGTTTCCTAAAGCAGAACGGGAGGAAGATCTTTCAGTTATCAGGCTCCTCCCTTGTGGAACCAACTTCCAGTTTCTGTCTGTGAGACTGACACATTGTCCAGTTTTAAGACTGGACTTAAAACTTTCCTATTTGTTAAATCCCATAGTTAGGGTTAGCTTGAGTTTCCTGAGCTGTCTCTTATTTATGCTGCTATAGCCTTAGACTGCTGGAGGACAAACTGACCACATTTCCTCGCTCTGCTGTTGTTTTTACTTACTCTAATCTACCTGTTTTTGTTTTATTTTGGTAATTAATTATATCCTTAACATGTGTTTTTTATGGGCAGCACGGTGGCGCTACTGGTAGAGCTGCTGCCTCTCAGCGAACAGGTCCCTGGTTCAAACCCCGGTCCAGGGGCCTTTCTGGGTGGAGTTTGCATGTTCTCTCTGTGCATGCGTGGGTTTTCTCCGGGTACTCCGGTTTCCTCCCACAGACCAAAAACATGCATGTTAGGCTGATTGGTAACTCTAAATTGTCCCTAGGTGTGAGTGAGAGAGTGAATGGTTGTTTGTCTCGTTTGTCTCTATGTGTCCCTGTGATGGACTTGCGACCCGTCCAGGGTGTCCCCCGCCCCTCGCCCAGTGATTGCTGGACATGGGCACCAGCGACCCCCGTGACCCAAAATGGAATAAACGGGTAAAGAAAATGGATGGATGGATGTGTTTTTTATATTTTTTCTAATATAAATACTCCTGGACCATCCATTCTGTGTTCGTTTGTTTCTCCTTCCTGTCCTCTCAAACCCCAGCCAGTCAAAGTAGATAGCCACTCATCCTGAGCCTGGCGGTTTATTCCTGATAAAAGGGAGTTTTTCCTTCCCACTGTTGCCTTTGTGCTTGCTCAGGATGGAAGACTGTGACGAAGTGAAGATTCAACACAATCTGCTGCTTCCTTAGATAAAGAACTTTACTAATTGCCTTTTTTAATTTATGTAAATGTTTCTGTTCAGTGCCCTGAGACAACTTCTGCTGAGAATTGACAATATATAAATAAACTGAATTGAATTAAATAAATTGGGCAGCACGGTGGTGCAGTTGGTAGAGCTGCTGCCTCTCAGCGAGCAGGTTGTCTCAGTTCAAATCCCGGTCTGGCGGGGTTTCTGGGTGGAGTTTGCATGTTCTCTCCGTTCTCCAGTTTCCTCCCACAGACAAAAAACATGCATGTTAGACTGATTGGTAACTCTAAATTGTCTCTAGGTGTGAGTGAGAGAGTGAATGGTTGTTTGTCTCATTTGTCTCCATGTGGCCCTGTGATGGACTGGAGACCTGTTCAGGGTGTCCCCCACCTCTCGTACAGTGATGGCTGGATATGGGCACCAGTGACCCCTGTGACCCGAAAAGGAAGAAGCGGGTAAAAGATAATGGATGGATGGATTTTGAAAGTCTGAACTTTGACTGAAAGTCAAAATTATAACAGAAATTCATAATTATGGCTTTGACAATCAAAATGTATATTTGTTTCTCATGATTATGACTTTGAAAGTTGAAATTATGAATGCAATTAATAATTATGACTTTAAAAGTCTAAATTTTGACTTTGTATCTCATAGTTATGACTTTGAAACTCATTTGTGACTTTGTATCTCATAATTCTTACTTTAGAAGTCAAAATTGTAACTGAAATAATGATTATGACTTTAAAAGTCGAAATTTTGACGTTGTATCTCATAATTGTGTTTTTGTTCCTCATAATTATGACATTTGAAACCCACTTATTATGACAGACCATTTAAATGCGCTTTATAAATAAATTTGACTTGAGTTGAGTTGACTTTATTTCTTTTCAACTTTCCATACAAACTGAATAAAATAATAAAATGACACCCCAGGACTGCTCGGGGTACGTATGACGCGCATGCGCAGTGTGTGGAAACAGGAGGAAATCAGCAGCAGGCTGCGCAGAACCACATTTAGCTCCGTTTTCTGAAAGTGTTCACACTTTATTTCTCCTCGGTTACGTTCGCGTACCATGACCGAACAATCAGCTTTACTTCTTCGAAAACAACTGGCAGGTAATATTTGCTTCAGACTGTAAGTTAACATAAAGATTACTGTGTTTACCGGCTGGCGCTAGCCTGTTGAAGCTACGCGGAGCTCTGTTTACGCCGTAGGAGAGAGCTAGCCTAGCAGCAAAGGACTCCTTTATCAACGCGGCCGTGTGTGGCTAAGCTGCTTTGGTTAACTAATCACTATCGGGATTCAGTAATACGTGTCGAAGTGTATCTATGAAAAACAACCCGTCCGAACCAGACCAGAATCGTAATTAAACCTTGTTAGCCTGCTAGCTAGTTGGCATTAGTTGGCGGACAGAACAAAGGAATAATCAATCCAGGGAATCATCAGTCCTGATCAATTTAAACAAAGATCTCCACGCTCTCATACTTACGCTTTATCTTAAATATCCTGTAGCCACTTGATAAAACCTACATAAAATTGTAATTTCGCTTCGTAAGATAATATCTCCTATGTGGTGTTTCTGTCTGCCTCGGAGTTGGCGCTTTGACGCGACATGTAGTATTCATGGCTCATGATCAAAGTACTTCTTCTGATCACTGTGGGGACATTTATTCACTGCATACCCCATGAATCTTTTCACCAAGACCCTCGTAAGATGGAGTTTCATTGGCTTCTTCTTGACTGTCTCAATAATGCCCTTCTCCTAAAAAAAAAAACTTTTTAAAATGGTCGTGAAACCATTTTGATGTAATGTCTTTTATGTCTAAAAACTAAGTCCTCAGTCTATTTGTCTGCTTTTCTATTATATATGAGATGCAAAAATTCATAATGACTATCAATAAATGGATTGATAGATACTTTATTTAGGAAAAGTTTGTCAAAGCAGCAACACAAAAACAAGTCAAGAGTGAGTCTGTACAGCAAACATAACACAGGTAATGGTGCTACAAGCAGCAGACATTAGATAACTGCAGAAAGGTTAAATAGTATGCAAGTAATGGTACTTCTGTTATGAAGACAAGTTTCTTAGAATAAAAAGGTAGATGAGAAATCTGAAAACTTGGGAAAATAACAGTAAACTTACCTGTAGATACACCTCCTGATGCATGCTCAACACCTGTAGATACAGTTAAAATAAATGCTGTGTAGACGGACATAAAAAACGCTGCTAAATAGAAGAATATACTGATGGTTATATATTTGCAGTTTTATTGACAGATGTATAGGCAGTGGAACTTGTATCTTCTACACAGAAACAAGCTGGAAAACAGACTGAATGATCTGAATGTTGGTAGTTTTATTTTTTTATGACAGCAGAACAGAATGTGTCTGTTGGAGAAAGAGCTCTGAAGTCGTGGAAAGGGATTATCTGTAATGGAGAGGAGGTTGTTTAGTGACCTGTTTGTCACTGAAGCAAATGTCTCCATGTTCTGTCCAATATTTTGTTCAACTTTACTAACCCTAAACCTTGCTTATTGTTTTAGTTTGCTGGCACTACCCCAGTAAACGGCTCAGAAGATCGCACCTGCCCCACAAGCTGATTAAAAGATCTGCCACATTTCTGCAAATATTATAAAGGGTTTGAGTTTTCTCAGAATAAAGTCAGATTAAAGTCTGCCCATCTCCTTGAGGCTGTGGTAGCTCAGTGGTCCGCCACGGTCTTGTAGTCCTTACCGAGGCTGCAGATTCAAGCCCAGTTTGCATCAGGAATGGCATCTGGTATAAAACAACCACCAGTGATTTTGTTCACAGGGGCGACCCCTGAAAACAAGACCAACACAAACGAAAAAGGAGGAAGAGTCTGCTTATCCCCTTTTTTTTTTTTAACCCTATCAGTGTTGGGTCACTTTTCCAGCTTGTTGTTTAGAAACAGGATGTTGATGTAACGTAGGAAACCTAAGTTGACCTTCCTCTCCTTGGTTTTGGACACATTTAGAAGCAGATAACTCCAGTATCAATTCCACAAAGTTGCCCACAAGTTCCTGTTTGTTTCTAAACAACACACATCCATAACTTCACAGGTGGCCAGATACAGAATTACTGTATACTTAGTCAGAGCTGTAAACAGGACAGCCGCTTGAGGTGATCAGCAACCTAGGAGAACATCATCAAACAAGGTTCTTCCCAGCTGCACAAATGAGGTCTATCAGACAGATAATCTGCAAACCAAGAGACAGTGGACGCATTGTCTGACATCCATCCAGAGCAGCTTTTTATTCTTTTAGGAAGGCTGGAAGGTCTTGAAAATATTGGCAAAATCTAAGAAAAGTTCCAGTGCTGAAGTTTAGAGTATTGAAAGTTCTCTTCAAATGCAGGAAAATGGTAAATGGTGTGGTAAAGAGGTGAAGAAGAGAGTCCAGGCAGGATGGAGTGGAAGGAGAAAAGTTTCAGGAGTGATTTGTGACAATGTTGTCAGCAAAGGTCAAAGGAAAAGTTTACAGGACAGCGGTGAGACCAGCTGTGTTGTATGGTCTGGAGACAGAGACATGGACAAAAAGACAGGAGACAGAACTGGAAGTAGCAGAAATGAAGATGTTGAGGTTCTTCTTAGGAGGCGTTTTTGCATTCAAAACTTGTTTTACAGCATTTTCATTTCAGTCTCTGGTCCGAGTGCTCCAGTGACCACTGGGACAACTGAGGCTTTAACTTCTCTGTATCTTTGAACGTTCGTTTTCTTCTTTTTTACCCAGAGCTCAACAAGAACCCTGTGGAGGGCTTTTCAGCTGGTCTCATAGACGATGACGACATTTACAAATGGGAAGTTGTAATCATTGGTCCACAAGATACTCTTTTGTAAGTCGGAAAATATTTGTTTAAAATGCCTTGATTTAAAAACATGAATTATTTAACACAACTTTCTTTTTCTTTTTTTAAACTAGTGAAGGAGGATTTTTCAAAGCATATCTAACCTTTCCCTACGATTATCCACTACGACCACCAAAGATGAAATTTATCACTGAGATCTGGCATCCAAATGGTAAAGATGTGCCTCAGAATCATTACTTACTAAATGTTTTATCATTGCATGCTATATATATATATTAAATTATAACGTTTTTGTGTTTGTAACCGGTTCTCCAATTTTTCCTCACAGTTGCAAAGAATGGGGATGTTTGCATCTCAATCCTGCATGAGCCAGGAGAAGATAAATTTGGATATGAAAAGCCTGAGGAGCGCTGGCTTCCAATCCACACCGTAGAGACAATCATGATTAGCGTCATCTCCATGCTGGCAGACCCAAACAGTGATTCTCCTGCTAATGTGGATGCTGCAGTAAGTTGTGATCTTTCTGGTGTTCCTCTTAACTATAGATTGTCTTTTAGCTCTTTTAAGCTGTGCAGTATTGTTCGTATTGCCTGCCATTGAAAGTGAAATGGCGATCATGTTTTAACTTGTGTGCATGTGTTTGTTGTTGCGGTGGGGGCAACACTCAAGGTGCTGAGTAACACCTTCGAACAGTTCTGTCAGTGATGGTACTTTGCTGACTTGAAGATGAAGCACTGGTCGTTGGCGTTCTAGTCATGCAACCATTGTAAATGGCTTTGTGGTGTTTTTTAATTGTTTATAAATATTTGTGGTGTTTCCTCGAGAGGCAGCATCAGCAGCAGGTTCTGCACAGTACATGTCGCTGCGCAGCGTCTTCTTTTTTTATAGACAAAACAATTCCAAACGATGGACGTGCTGCTCCCATCGGTACCAAACTTTCAGATGTATCAGCTTCCGTCGAGCCTGACGCCATTGTGCAACCGGTTAAAGCGCAACATTGACCTCTCGCTCCCTGCTCTGCTTTGCTCCGCTCACTTGCAAGTCATGTAACCAGATCACGTGACCAGTCAAATTGCAGCCTTCACGATTAGAAAATCTCATTTTATCATACTGTGATATTATCGCAAATGCAATTAATTGTTCAGCCGTAAGTCAGAAATACAAACACTGAGGTTAAATTGGGTGTGGTAGTAGTAAGTAGTCATCTGTAACATATATTCAATGCTAACACATTTCGCAGGTCATCATATAGTAGCTCCGGTGCCATCTTCATATATATATATATATTGGCTCCAAAAGCTAGCTCTGGAGCTATCTATCCATTATCTTTACCCTTTTCTTCCTTTCTGAAATACGGGGGTCACTGATGCCCATATCCATTTATCACCATGCAAGAAGTGCTCTGGAGCTAGCGTCATACGTTTTAGCCCTGGAGCTAGCGTCATACGTGTTAGCCCTGGAGCTAGCGTC